TATGAATCAGAAACATATTGATTCAAATTGGCTTCCACTGTATCTGCTGATGGCCATTTCTTAATTTGGCTTTCCAGGTCAGTCAGTATGCTGTCCACTTGTCTTTCATGGCTTTGTCTTGCATCTTCTCTTATCTTGCTGAGTAGCTCTTGTGGCACTTTAACATTCTCTGACCTTTCTTTCAAATCCTGCAGTATTAACTTAATAAATAGCCCCAAAAATTGAAGTTTTGCCAGTTCACGCAATCGAGCGAACATTGGAAAGTGAAGACTGATTTCATCATAAGCAGATGTCATGTCAGCAGCAAACTTTGCTTCAGGACTGTCTGGATCATCCTCTTCCTTAGTGTCTTTGAGTTTTCCGTCTGATCCTGGAAACAATGGGTGACTCCTGATTGTCATTTTGACTTCACCAAGACGGAAGGTTAATTTACCTTGATTTGACTCTTGTGTGTATGTTAGCTTGTCTGCTTGAATCCAGAATCGATGCACATTACCTTGGTGTCCTCCTGGACGATCCTGAACTGGTTTGAGTGCTTCTACCAGACGATGTGGTAGACCTTTCAGTAGACCTTCCTTGCATGGCCTTTGCTTGAATGGAGGTTTAGCAGACACTTCTGAACCAACACTAAATGACTTCATAAGATAATCAGTTTCAAACATAGTGTGGAGGAAATCAGAGTCCTGATAGCAACTTGGACTGTATCGAAACTTTTGAAAAGGATGGTAGTGCTCAGTCTTGCTAGGTGGATCCAAACTGAAGAATGCTGGATTGAATTCATCTGAGTTCATTTGTAGCACAGTATTAACATCATCTCTTGAAAAAAGGCCTATCCTACCATCTTCTGAACTAGCAGGCACTACTAGTAACTCAATGGAGGGATTCTTTGGATCCATATTGAACTGGAACCCATGAAGTTTTGAATATTTCATGTTTCCCCCTAGTGTATGCCCTCTGCTTAACCAACCATCATTATCTCTTGGACTGAGTGTTGATGTCATTAGCCTACTAACATCATCCCAGGTCCATCCTTTTTCTGCCAGTAGTCCTTCCATTGCTCTGGAGCGTGCTGCCTCTGGGTCTTGTAGAGGGTGTACACGGCTTATATCATTCTCATATAACTGATAACGTAGCTCAGCCTCTGTTATTGGCCTTTGTTCTGGGCTGATGTGTTGAAGGGCAAGTAAAAATTTGCTGTGGATTTTGTTCACCTTGATATTCAGCAAGGCTATCTCAGAAAGTGACACTAGAGGCATTTCCCACAAGGGACAGAAACGGCAATTATAAAGAACGTTATGCAAAAGCAATGCTGCCAACTCAATTGCTTCTTCACCTGCTACTAACTTGGTCAGTTGAAGTGTATGGAGGAGTATACTAAGTGAGAGACGTGATACGTATAACTTCATACCAGGAGCAAACCTTAGAGTAGCCATCCCATTAGCTTGATACAGGCAGATAACTACTGTCTTGGCTAAGGCATGTTTAACATTATCAGTGAGCAAGGGATTAGCTTGTATATACTTGTATATCCATAGTGATGCATAGATAAAGCACAATGGAAACTGTGATGGATGATTGCAAGCTGCTATGTAATCAATGTAAGCTAATGCTGCCTCCCACTCACTCCAGTTCCCTTCTTTTACTTGACTGCTCACTGCATTCTCGAACTTTCTATGTCCCTTTACATTCAGCCCTACTAGTTCAATATTTGGCCACTTTGCTGGCATTGGGAACTGGGCTTTGTTTACTTCAGGAAAAATGAGATTGAGGCACCTGCTTCTATTCTCATCTGTTGCTCCTAGGCTGCATATCTTCAAGATGCTGCTTGAAGCAGAAAGATCAAAAAACTCTTTGGTTGAAAAAAATGGAAATTTAGCCATGTAATAATTAATGACATCTGCCAGTGCTTTTTCAAGGTCGTGATTGCCAGCCCAAGCTGATTTTTCAATCTCTGCAATACCTCCTTGGTAATTTCCTTCTTCAAATTTAATGATGCCATTTAAAAGAAAAAAAGCTGCTTGGTCATTATGGTGCATTTGGTCAATGTATGCACCGAATGACAACATCACGAAGTACTTAATTGTTTCTACGGTTTCGTTATTTTTAATGGCATCTTCTTCATTAAATATCTTACGCATGACAAATGCTAACAGCCTATCATATGCTCTGATCCTCCAAAGCTCTGATATTTTTTTAAGAATATCATTATTTAGTGGCTTTTCCTTTAATAGGCTATCCAATGTTCTTTTGGTTTCACTTGATACTGCTGCTAGTTTAGGTGCTTCCATTGACTTATCAACATGGATTTCTGCTATTTGACAAGCCTCAGTTGCTGCTTGAAGCAATTCCAGTCTGTCTTTCTGTTGAGCATCACGTCTTTCAGCAAGTGCTATTAAAGTAGAGGCTGTCAGAGTTTGTCTCTGGATTAAAGCTTTTTTACTCATCCTTTCTTTCATAACTGATGCTAAAAGTGGCATTGCTAGCTCTGGCAAACCATTGTTAAGGAAACCCTTAGCTACATCAAGTATTGGCTTTACTGTATCACTACTGCTCAGCAGTGCCATTGTTAGGCATCCAAGGGCTGTTTTAGTGGAATTTATAGTACCTTGTTCTAAGTATTGTAGGCACATATGCATCCAGTCTTCTGCTTCAATGTTATGCAGTATTGTATTGCACTCTTTGCAAAAAGGCTGCTTTTCTGTGAGACCAAAACGTGAATAGGATATGCTTCTTGGCTGGCAGTTAGAGCAGAAAGGCTTACGACAATAGTAGCAGGCATTAGATATGTAACTTCTTTTGTTAAATAGCATGCTAAACAGCAAACTCTTGTTACAATTTGCACAATTTTTCCCTTGTGTGTCAGTTGCAGCTGTAGTTGTATTTTTGGGCATTGTTGTTTTAGGTATCAAAACTTCCAGTTGGTGACGCATATCTGATGTAGATGAGCATTCTTCATTGAGTAGTAATGAATATAATAGCAATATTTCTTTTTTTGATAAGCTATCTAGGCACAAAACCTTTATGCCATCTTCTGAAGGAGGAGACAAATAAACCCCATTTGTTTGAATCCCAAGCAACATTTGGTGTATTTTATATACATTTGCTATGACATTAGGATCTTCTAACGAAGCATTACTTGTTTGCAATATGTTTTGCAATGGGGTCTGTTCACACTGTTTGTTAGTGCTACTTTTTTTTATTTGACACATCTTATCATTTTTATATATCTCTGCTTCACGTAAAGCATCACGCACTTTTCGCTGGAGTAATCGTTCAAACTCTTGTCCTGAAACTTGGATTCTTCCAGCTTTAAAATCTGCCTTGAACTTGTTGAAATCCTTTAAGAAAATGTCTGAGAAGCGTATACCTTAGGAAGGATAAAATTATGATAATTTTCCATAAACACTTGCATACTCACCTGTTGGGAGGAATCCTTTAGGATCACAGATAGCTCCATCTTCATGTTTTTCATCGTATTCAGCTCTCTGAACCTCATCCAACAGGACAGACTTTGCTTTATTGAGCCTTTTCATCATTTCTTCAGTCTTTGAGTCTTGTGTTTTATCAGGATGATACATACGGGACATTTTATGATATGCCACTTTGATATCAGCCTGGGAAGCATTCTTTTCAACTTGCAATAGTTGGTAGTAGTCAGACTCAAGAGGAGCCACATCTAACTGTGGGGCCTCAGTATTGCTATAACCTGTTGCCATTTCTGTACGACTAGCAATAGACAATAGCCTTTTGATTCAATAGACTATGCTCTGACTATCGCAGCTCACTTTTATGCAAACATTTGCATTCCTGTTTTGTACTCCCACTTTAACATATTGAGTATATACGGCAGAAGCAGGAGACATATCGGTACATATACAATGTACGGTACAAGTTGAATTTCTCTGTAGAAAGTAATTGTGCTTTGTGCCATTGAACATGCATGTGGATTTTTGCATTTATGCATTTATTTTACCTGATCCTTGCCTTGTCTTAGCTGCAAAGCATCTCTTTCAGCTGTTTTGATTGATCTGGTCTCACATGACGTAGAGCCAACCACGTGGTCTTCTTTGCACACATTTTAGGTGGCAGTGTCACCAGACCCTTCCTCCACAGGTAGCAAAGGGGCAGGGTGAGACTACAGTACCCCCAATTGTGATTGTACAGTAATTTTTACTTTTCCTTTAAACTGTGTGTGAGGTTAACTTTTTATGATAGCTGATACTTATTGTCTTAATTTTTTAATTTTTGACCTTCATATTTGTCTACTAAGCCCGCTCTATAGCTAAGATTCACACAATAGTTGTCATGATGATTAGACACATGCATTGAGCAAGCTTATGTATTATGATGTCTATGACTCTTAAGGCTGGTTTACAATATGAGATTAGGCCAGCGTACCATCAATTTTTCATCAAAAGCGTGGGTGATTTGACCTTTTGATGCATGCTTTACATTAGAATAGAACCAGCTTCTATTCTAGCATCGACGTAACGTCAGGACTAGCATAATTTTATAAACCAGCCTTTAGTCTAGGAAGAGTGGAGACTTAGTGCTGATGTATTATGTAAATGTCACGAGTCCAATATCAGTTATTTTTGACACCTTCTGTTATATTAATGTTATGGGAGTGATTCTACCAAGAATGCTGCGTTGTAGTTCTATAGGAACTACATGTACAACACAGCAATTTGAAAGCAATCTTATCCTCTTTATTACGATAAATTGGTAATGTATAGAAAGATAAAGATTGGTCAAATGAATAAGTGATACTATAACTGTACATGTACAATGTACTTTTACATATACATTGTAGATAGGATGTAGTGGTATCAAAAAATTTGTAATAATAATGTGTATAAAAGTAATGTACATGCAGTTTCTGCTATTACTAGAATGGTGTATTATAATTGAACAAAGACTTGAATTATATTTTTTATTTTCTAGCGTATATGCAGTGTAATGGCTCCATTCCCTGTCCTCTCACTGACTGCTAATAATTGCAATGGAGACGTACTAGCAGTCTGTGGAACTAAAGTATTAATAATAATAAT